ACACAAACAATTCTCAGTCTCCTCCCAAAGTGATTAAGTGATGTGGAGAATGTGACAAAATCTGCTGTTTTACAGAAGACAGTGAGGGTAGGTCTCGCTATTTTAGGCAGAGCCCTGAGCAAAGTGAGGACACAAGAGTGTTCCAGAGAGGGAGTAGCAAGTGCAAAGGCCCTGAGGTGGGGCCTGCAGGCAGGACAGCAGTGTGTGAATCAGCCAGGGGGATGAGATTGGAAAGGTAGCCCGCAGGCAGATCATGTAGACTCTATGCCTAGGACCTTCTAGGCATTTGACTTTTATTCTGAGAATGATATAATAGAATGCCATTGGAACATTTACACTTTAATTTCATCTTAACCTTTTGTGGGTCCTGAATGTCTTTGGCAGTGTGGTGAAACCTGTGGAGCCCTTTGTGGAATAATGTTTTTAAATGCATGAAGTCCAGTGGATGTCAAAGAAACCATTTATATGGAAATACATAGATTAAGTTCCCCTGTAAGGGACACACATGCTCTGATTTACATTTTCAAAGGATTGCTCTGATTGCTGTGGGAGAATGTCTATAGGGGCCAGGAATGGAATCTCCAGGACCAGTAAGATGGTGGGGTGGACAGCAAAGCTGTTTTATTTATCCTACAGGGCAGTGGCCTTGGAAGTAATCTTTTTGAAGGCAAGAAGAAAAATGTATAACTTCTATTTACATTTAATTTACCCTCATTCTTTTTAATTGCTCCATTGAGTATATGTTTTATAATATCCTACTATTTTAGGACATTAGTGCATTTACATAGTTCATGAATAAATTGACATATATCGGAGATGCATGCTCACAAAATATTTATAACATTGATTTTTGGTTGTTCAGCTCTGATGATCCTGATACAGGGAGAGCGACCCTATAAGAAACTAAGAAAATACCACTCTGCTTTAGACATTTCATTTCAGATCCATGTTGTGGGAAAACTGAATTCTTGCCATGATTCAACCTGCTAAATGTCAGCCATGTTTCTCAAGTACCCTTACCTCTCCTTAAGAGCTCTCATCTGGCTGTCAATCGGTTTACACCTGAGTAGACCCCCTGTCACTTCTAAGGTGGCATGTACTCCCCCAGGGAAACTAGTTTCCTGGGGTTGTTACCAGACAGGAAAAGTGGTTCTGGGTATTTGCCCTGAAAGTCAGGAGGTCCTGAAGGGTATCCTCTGCTTGTGGCATGGTGAGCTGAGCTATGCGGCATGCCTTATTCCCCCACGCCTCTGTGAGGTGCTCACCTTCATTCAGTCTTAAGTCTCTCTTCTGTCTGCCTGTCTCAAATAGCCCTCTCCGGCCTATTTTTGTGCAGTCCAGTGGTGCAGCAAGCTGAATGGTGTGCATCACTCCAAGTGCAGGGTTATGACATTTTCTGTTTTATGCCCAGGAGGGAGGAGTATCTGGAATGGAGGAAGGGGACACAGGAAGGCGAAAGAGAAGGGAAAGTGAGAGGGAAGAACTGATTTTGTATGCAACTTGCTCCAGTTATCACTGAACTGCCATTTTCTTCCCTCTCTTTTCCCCCCTCAAAGAAAGAAAGGCTTGCTTCTTTTCTTATATAAAAAAAGAAACCTAGGGTTTTTATAAAATGAATAGAAATCTTCAGGTAGGCTATTAAAACAAAAACTAATGCATGGTGGCTAGAGGTGGGTCCACCCCCCAGATCAAGCCATGGCTGTGGGTATCTAGGGAGATGTGGTCTTGGCCATGCTGAAAATACTAACAGAAGAATTTCACTGACCTGCCTTTCGAGTAGAAATAGGTTTATGGAAGTGCTATAGAACCTGAAAATGAGGCCAGCCTAACCCCACAATTCCTGTGCCCTAAATATGAAGTCATATTCCCAATGCTTTTTATTTTTTCTGCTCTTCTCATTTCTGAACTCTGCCTGTTTCAGGCACTGCTCCTTCATTGGGTATTCTTGATTATTTTAAATTTCTTGTTAGTGAGTATTTGCAGAAATGTCAACTTGTAGGTAGACTAGCCAGACATCGGAAAAATGGTTTGATAAATCACTGTAATGTAACATGGCTAAAATATCAGAGCACAAAGGAGCCTGTCGTTGTTATTAGTCTGCATGGCATTCACCGCAAGCAGGAAGCAATGTTGGATGATAAGATTCAGAGCCAAGTCAAGCTATCTGCTATTACTCTCCAGTGGACACGGCCTCTAGGACACTTGGAATAGCTTCTAGATAGGATAATTGATTTGTGCTGGGAATTAACTAAACATCTACATCATTTTCTGGGAAATAACTAAATCCTTGATATTGCTCACCAAAATAAAACTAGTTAATTCAGCAAGAGGAAAAGCAAACACTTTGAAATGAAAGAAAAAAATGCCCAAAGACATCCTCTTCAGTCTTCTTCATTTTCTCTGCCTTTCCTGTATCCTTCAGAATGTGGTTGCCTGTGATTGATGGGTCACTTCGATTGTGGGGTTAATTTGGGGGACTGGATATCTCTGCGTGTTGCTGTAGAGTTTCGTGGGATTTCCTAGGTGCCTTGCTGCATCTGGGAATTGTTTGGTCTCTAAGGTTCCAGGCACCTCCAGTTTTACTTACATTTTCAGGCCTTTGGAGTGCAGGGCATTTTGACTTTATAAAGTCTTAGGTGCCTCATTCTTTTTTTTTGTTGTTGTTTGTGCCAGATATCCCCTTGAAATAACAGAGCCTGGTGGGTGATCAATAACATTAAGTAAGTGATGCCAACACCTCTCTCCAAGAGGGCACCAGGATCTCTTCCTGCACCTTCCATATCCTGCTCATTCAGAGAAGTACTAAAAAACACTCAGTCTTTCGGATCCATTCTCCATCAGTATACTGAGAAAATATTTAAAACCTCAAAAAGACTCTCTGTTTCCTAATATTTTGGCCATCCAGAGTGACTCCAGGCTTGTCTGTCTGGAGCCGTGAGCTCTGAAAGTTTTTATTGACGGCTAGTTAGACCTGTCATCCTAGCAGTTAGACCTGTCATCCTAGACCTGTCATCCCAAGCACAGGGGGAGGAAAGGGAGTTGAGATGAGTTGAACAGTTACTGTGTGCAAGGCTCAATCTATGTGTTCCATGCACAACTTATTGAAACCTCACAATAAACATGGGTTTATTAATAAGCTCACCCATTTAACAGATAAAGACACTGAGGCCTAAAGTCTGTAATGAACTCAGCAAGATCCCCAGTGTGCTGACTCCAAAGTTTTTGTGTCACCTGCCCTCGGCTACCTTCCCTTCAGCCAGCACATCTTTTCTAAACTTTTGCTTGCAGGAGCCAGAAGGTGAACTTTTAACACTGCTCATTGATTCATTTTTTTCCATGGTTTCCAAAACTGAATGGGTTTCCTCCTGTGCTTCCAGCCCTCCTTCATGTCCCCTTGGTTCTCTTTAAAAGAAATGCCTGTGTTTCTCATTTTTCTTCTCTGCGGGTTTTACAGAGCAGTGGCTCGCTAGGGCACCGATTTAATGAAATAAAATTTTCAAGCATGTTTGGTTTGATTCTAGGTGATACAAATAAAGAATTGTGAATGCTTTGTAGTCAGGTTTAAAGAGAAGGGGAAGAGTGGAAGGAAAAAAATAGGTCAAGTATAGTAGCTCGGTAATGTCTCCTTAAGGGCTGCCTAGTAAAGGTTTAGCTATTAAAAATGGAGACATAATGGGACAGCCAAAGTACTTTGGCACCTGTGTGTCCTGAAATTTTGAGTTTGGCAGTTTATAATATTTGCTAGTTATGTGAATGTTATATGTGCGAGGCATTGTTCTAATTAATATATAATGTGCATAGACATTGATCTATGCTCTCCAAACCCTTCGAGGTACATGCTATGATTATCTCTAAGAAAACAGAAGCACAGAGAGGTTTATGAATCTGCCCAAGGTCATACAATTAAGGACAAAACTGGAAGCTGAGCCCAGGAAAGTTGGCTTCAAAGCTCTTAAGCATGTGCTAACCTACCCCTCAGTGACAGGGCTTGGTAATTCAGTCTCATGATTTCACGGGATTCCAAAGATTATTTTTCCTCTTAATTAGAACCAGCCCACCATACAGTTGGAAGGGTAAATATTTGCCATGTTTGGTGACAGACGTGATGGGTTAAAAAAAAAGAAAGAAAAAAAAAAAAAGGTCTAAGGCAAAGCCATGTACTTTCTCTTACATATTCCTCCATCTGTATTTACTGTATGGAAAGGTCACTTGAGCACAAGTGTTCGAATTTCATGCTTATAAGCAGCTTTCCTGTGGCTAAAACCTTGTTCTACAAATTGGTTTTAAAAATGTTTTATGATAATGTATATTGCTCCCTAATATGAACACTGTGAGTCATTAGGTTATGAGCTTTCTAACTCAGACTTTTGTGACAGTGTTTTTCCTAAGTGCCAGGAATCATCGAGTGATTGTTGTGTTACTCTCAGGTTGGAGTCCTTTCTCCTGGCTGTCCATCCATCACATTTACTGGAAGGCTCAGTGGTTCTGGGAGGCCTGAGCTGCTGCCTTGTCAGCCAGCTACCTGGCTGCAGTTTGTGGCAGGAGGGAAAGGGGGTGGGAGAAGACTAAAAAGCCTGAAATGGCAAATTACTGTAGGTTCTGGAGAAAAATAGAATTAGAAGCATTTGTGGTTCAGATGAAAATAGCACATTTCCTTTCTGCCTGGACTGTGGGGGTCAGAGTGCTCTGGGGAATAGAAAATAAATAAAAATTGATCCCTCACCAGCCGAAGGAAATGCTCTGACTCTGGGAACTGAAATGACGGCTCCAGATTTGAGGATCTTGTGAAACCGCTTTTGAAGGTTAACAACAAAAAAACAACAAACACCAGGAGACTTGGGGGAAAAAAAGAGTGGGGTACCTTGTTAGGAAATCTAAGTCTTTCAAGAATGATTTAAACTGCCCTTTTCCAAGACTGGCCACCAGGCAGCAGGGCCTGATCAGGTGTGAGGCTGTTTTGTTCCTTTCGCTGACCGGGGACCTTCCATCTCTTTCTGCAGGTGAGAAGCCTTACAAGTGCTCGTGGGAGGGCTGCGAGTGGCGTTTCGCACGAAGCGATGAGCTCACAAGGCACTACAGGAAACACACAGGTGCAAAGCCCTTTAAATGCAACCACTGCGACAGGTAAAGAGACTTGAAGGCTGCCGGGTCGGGGGAGGGGAGATGGGGTTGAAGAGTGAGCTATCTGTGTGCTCTTGTTACAAGCCTGGGGCATGGGTGCTGGGCCTGGGAATGCCTTTTCCTTCGCCACGGAGAAGACCAGTGAGGTCCCCTTTTGCATGTAGCCAAGAGCTGGTATGAATTCTTGGTTCGGTTATACAAGTGTTTGCTAAACACCAGCTTTGGGCCAGGAAGCGTGTTCATCACTGGGTATCAACAAGACAGAGTTGCTACCCTCAGGGAGATGATGTGACAGATCATTTTAATATTAATGTGACATGAAAAGTAATAGGATAGAAAATAGTCACCTACAGCTACTTCTTCTGATGTTTTTACCTACATCAATACCACTTTCCTTCATCCTTAAAAATATGAGAGAATAGAAAGCTTGTCCAATGCAAGGAAGGTTAGTTAGAAGGCTTTTCTCTGAAGCATTGTGGGAAATGAATCGTACCAAAGAGAGTTCCCATTCTTTGGGTGCGCGCACTATTCCTTCTTCCTTGAAAATTGGTACAAGGGTGCAAAAGATGGCAAGGCTTTGAGAACTTACCCTGTAATTCAATTGCAAGCCTTCAGCATTTGATAGTGGAAGAAAGAGCACGTAGCAACAGATACTACCCAAGTAATAGTATCTGACAGCCCTGGCATTATCAACCAATAAACCCCAAAATGGAGACTCTGCAGGCCAAGGTGAAGGCAGGATTAGGTTTAGACATAATCAAATAATGGGCTTGCATCTGAGCGTGTTATCCTTCTAATCCTATTTCTGTGTTTAAAAGGAAGCTTAAGAAAATTAACCATCTTTTTAATGCAATACTAAAGGTCTCGGTTATGATGAGAAAAATGCTTCTAATACGATAAAAGCCCCTGAAAGCCTCAGGCTTCCCCGGCTGGGCCAGCAGCTCGCAGGATGGCAGGAGGGGGGTGTGCAGGATGGCAGCAGGGGCCTGGCTTTTCTTGGGAGGAAATGCGATCACGTTCACATCCTGCCTCCCCCAGTCCCTGTGCCGTGCACCGCCCTCTCCCTAGGCCTTCCTGCGTAGTAGTGTTTGTTTGGAGAGCAAGGCAGGGGCGTCCAGGTTTCATGGGTGGACAGGTTGGCTTGGTGCTCCTTGAAGATGCTTATAAAGAACCAATAGTATCTTTTCTCCTTTTTCCTTCCTGCTTCCTGAAGAGGCTATTTTCTTCTTATCTTCATTCTCTAAGAACTAAATAAAGACCCCATGCCTCCTGGAGCCCAGAGATAACCTCCCACCCAGGGCTAAGGAAGTACAGTTCACGCAGCTGTTGTCTCCCAGTCCCTTGGAACTTTGTTCTGCTACCCAAAAATATAAGTCAGTGTTTAACTTCTATGTCACTACCTAGAAGTCCTCCTGAATTTTCATGCATCAGCAGCTATGTTCTATAGGGTATGCTCCAGTAGAGTTTCCCCTTATCTGACATGTTCCTTCAACTCCCATGTCAAGCTTCCCTGGTCCACTCCTCTCCTGCCCTGGCTGATAAAGAAGCTACACAGACAGCAACTGTCTGTCCCCAGCCCTTGGAGGGAGAGTGTCCCATTGTGTCAACTGAGACAAAGATGAGCTCTTTGTGAGCTGTCAGAGTACAATGGTAGTAGGTACACACAGTTGAGGCTGTGAACTTGGCAACTGTGAGCGTTATGGGTTGTCATAATCCCTGGAAACGATCAAAGAGTTTTTATGGGGAAATTGCCAGCGTTAATATTCCTTTCTTCAAATCAACTGACTTATTGAGGAATTTACAATCTTCCAGCAGTTGATATAGTAGAATTAAATCTAGCCGCTTGTATGACTTATATGGAGAAATTCTGCAAACCCACGGGGTATTTCCGTGAAGGAGATGTCAGAGATGGGCAATTTGGCTAGTCTTTTTCTTTGTGTTCTTCATCAAAATATACTGTGATTTCTGGAGCTGCAAATTTGCCGAGCAAATGGTACAAATTCCACAACATGGTCTTTGGGGGAGATTGAGTAGATCAGAGTCCTGTGACATAGGCCAGAAGTGCATTTTCAACGGTGTCAGAAAGGAGGGGTTGGACTCTCATTAGCGTCTCATGACAGGCAGCACCTTGCGTTTCCACTGCAGCGACTGTGCTAAGAATAGGCAGGTCTGGGAGGTGCATGGGGAATTGGAGTAGTCCCAAAGCAGATGAAAGGAAAGCTTGGAGTGACCGGGGAGTTGGCATTCCTTAGAAGACTTTTACCTTCAGAATCAGAGGGCATCTGTGGCCTTTGGCAGGACACTGCATCCTACTGGTAGCACAGTATATGTGAGTGCACTACCTCTTGCCTCTTAAAATTTGAACAATCAGACTACCTTATTTAGAAACTAAATAGGGTTTGGATTTCCTTTCCTTAAGCATGTACCAAGTCTAACTTTGGCTTTTATTTTGCCTAGAGGGTAGTTTAAAAAATTCATGAGGTTTTTTGGCCAACATTTAAAATCGTTAAATGTCACACCAAAAAAGTCTATATTTCTGGCTTTGTCTGGAAAAATCAGATCTGGCCACAGTGGGCTCACATTCCCATGTGGCTCTAATTGGCTGGAACGGAATAGCAATCACTACCCATTTGCAATGGCCATGTGATGACTATTTTTCCACCATTGCTGCCACTTCCTATGGCCTCCACAACAAGACAGTAAGCCATCGGTTGCCAAGTATTATCACACTTGCTCCGTCTTTTAGTCTTACAAGAAGAGCAATATTTCTTCCTATCCATGCCTTAGCAGAAGTACAAAGAGACAGTCCAAGAGTGCTGTGTGTTCCTTATGCTTGGCCTGCTGCATGCACTTACTTTATGTGCCTGGCCCCTGCAGACACTGGGTTTTATGACCTCTGGCTTCAGGTTTGGGTTGGGAGAAAAAATAATGCGGTGGCTGTACCCTTTCCTCACCAGCAGACTGGATGGTGCAGCCCACTGAGTGACCGGCTGCTACAGGCATGGGTCGTTTCTCAGCCCACAGAGCAGAAGGCTGCTCTTGGAGGTAAATGGGCCTCTGTCTCCATTAGGGGTAACACGCAGGCCACCGTTGTGGTGACTCAGCATAGTTATAATCCAGGGAGGCTGCTACCAATGTAGGACATCCAAGATTGTGGGCAGTTGAGGGGACATTTTGACCGTTGTCAGCCCATTTACTGGTGGTAAGAAATACAGCCAGCATCCCTTTGGTCCCCTGGAGGATTGCTGTTGCTTAATGCCTGTGTGACTTTAGTGTGCCTTTTTCCTAAGCAAGAGAGAGAAATGACTCTGGGGTTTGACTAGTTGTCCATTGTGTACAATTACCAATCTTTAAGGACCTTCTGATTGGAGGTCATCTGGCTGCTGTACAGTTATGAATACCTTCTGGGGGCATATTACCCTTAAGACCATTTGATTCTGCATTTCTAGATGCCAAGTTTATCTGTTACCTTTTATTATTCCTATGTGGAATTCAGTCAGCATATATTAATACACATAAATTAATCATGGCTAAGTATCTCGCTGACATATTGAATTTAAGTAAAAACCTCAATGATGAGGGAGGAACCTGGTCTAATTTTAAACATCATATGTTTTAGAATTTGAACAAATAATGATGCTCATTAAAGATTTGATGTGTTTTTCCCACTGTTTCTCCTGAAATAACTTGAGGGATAAAGGCGGTTGCCTGTACATGTATTGCTAGATACTTAGCAATTGGTAGAGGCAGAATTAAAGTTGAACACATACATTTCTGAATGGTATTTTTCAACTAAAGTTCTATATCAAGAACACTATTCTTCTGAAAGTTGCCAGGATATAGAAAGGAAAGGAAAGGGCCTTTGTGCACTGCCTGGACCTCTCTTCATCCTCACGATCTCAAATTCCTGCATCCCCCCTTGGTCAGGCAGGATGCCTGGTGCCTGCCCTGTTGTTTCTCACAGGTCCTCACTGCTCAGGCCTGACCAGTTGTAACCTCCGCATTAATTCTCTCGTTGCTGCCATGACCAGTTGCCACAAATTCAGTATCACGTTTATTTACTTTGCAAGTTTATTCTCTTACACTGCTGTAGGTTAGAAGTCTTAGCCCCTTGGTCCCCTGGAGGATTGCCGTTGCTTAATGCCTATGTGACTGTCGTGTGTCTTTTCAGTGGGCTAAAGTCAAGGTGTTGGCAGGGCTGCATCCTGTTCTGGAGGCTCTGCGGGGGGAGAGCTATTTCTTTGCCTTCGTGACCTCATTCCTTCGTCACCACAGCTGTTATGTCCTTCTCACGCTGTCATCTCTCTGGTTCTCTCTTTCAATTCCTGCTTCATTTTTAAGGACCCTTGCGATAGCATTGGGCCCCGCCAGATAATCCAGGTTAATCTCCATATTTTAAGGTCATCTGATTAGTAAATTGATTCCATCCATAACCTTAATTTCCCCTTTCCATGTAACAAAACATAGTTTCTGGGGACTAGGTGTAGACACTTGTGGGGAGGGCATTATTCTGCCTGCCACAAGCTCCTTAAATTGATAGCTCAGCTCTCCTTCCTTCTTAGCCCTGGAAAGCAGATGTGCCTAAGGGCATGGGCTCCGGAGTCAGGCTACATGGGTTCAAATCCTGGCGTGGCCTCTCTCTGATAAATATCTAATCTGGTAGTGGGGATAAGAATGACACCTTCTTTATAGGGTTCTTGGAAGGATGTTAACTTTAAAAAAGAAATACATACAAAAAGAACTTCCCAATTTGGATCTTCTTTCTCTAGGTTGTTGAGATTAAATAAAAAAAGGAGGGAGAGAAAGAAAAAGGAGGAGGAAAGGCAGAGAGGGAGGGAGGGAAAGAGAACAGGCAGTGGGCAGTGCTGAGCCCTCAGGACAGCACAGTTATGCAAGTTAGATGCTAAATTCCCCGAAGGCTGTATTGCTTTTTCTGCGTACCATTGACAGCAAGTACTTGCTTTTAAAGAAAACTTATCACTGTTTTATACCAAATCAAATCCCTCAGAGGCATTATCCAAATATTTTGCTCATACCAAATTGGGGCCTGAAATAAGGGAGTGGAATTAAAATGTTTGTGATTCAGTGTATTATCGGATTAGATCGTTTTCTGGCATACCTTTCCCATTCTTATGTGTTTTTCATTTTACCTTTGTCCCATTTCATTTCGTTTCCTTGAGATTCTATCCTGCATGTGTACCTATTTAAGGAACGGACACAAACAGAGGGTGTGGAGAATGTTGAGGTCAGGGGAAAGGGTGGATTTTTCTGTTTGTTTGTTTTAAGAATGAACAAACACAGGGAAATCCTGCACTGAACAGGAAACCCTGTTAACCTGAACAGGGCAGTTTGCTGACATTCTAATAAGAGTTTTGAACTGGGCAGGGCGGGTATCTCAGGCTTCAAGAGAGCCCGGAAACTTTCCCATCAGTAAGAAAGTGGCCAGTTTCAGAAGAAAGGTCTGTAGGGAGAGTATACACTCAGAGCTAAGAATGATTCTGTCTTATATGCTGACCTTACTGGAATTCTACCCAAAACCTTAGATTATAGGCTGCAGTGATACGGAAACGCCCATGCTATTAGTTTTAAGATACAGAAACCTGACTCAGACTGGTATTACCTTCACAGGGCATTTAGTTATTAGCTCAGGTAACTGAGAAGAGCAGAATTAGATCTGTCTTCAGACTTGGCTGGATCCAGGTCCTCAAGAGTTATGATCAGAACTCTTCCTTTCTCTTGCCATATCCCGGTCCCTTTGTCTCTGTTGCCTTTGCTCCCAAGCATGCTCTTCCCCATGATGACAGTGTGGACACCAGCAGCTCCAGGCTTCCATCTCAGCTGCCCCAGTGGAAAGAGAGCCTCTCTCTTCCAGTCCTTTTAGCAGATGTCCCAGGCTGGCTCTTATTGGCCTTTAAGGGTCACATGACTATTTGGCCAGTTGTTGTGGCCACATGACTGTGACCACAACTTCAGCCTTAGGAGGAATGTTAGCCCCATACAAATGAGGATGCAGAAAGGTTGCTACTCAAGAGATGTCATGTTGCTGGTGGTAGAGGAGAGGAAGGAAGATGTATCCACTGGGACCCTGAGGAAGCCACTCAGTTATGGATCTTAGGTACCAGGGAACCATTGAAAAGAGTAGGCTCAAAGATCTTCCTGGGCTCCAATCCCAACTTTGCCATTCACTAGCTACACGACCTTAGCCTCGGTGTTCTTACCCCCCAACCCACTAACACACACACAGAGTGTGAGAATGCTTACAGCAGCGGGTCGCTGGGGATGTTATGGGGTAATACTGGGGAAAGCCCTAGCAAGTGCCTGCATATGGTAACAGAATAACTGTGAACACTCTTCTCCATTCTTTTTCTTGACTTGAATGTAGAATATCTGCATAGATCTGTAGGTACTACAGGCAGTATTTCTGGGCTTTTGTTGTAAAGCTCAGCATTGAAATCTGGGTGTTGAAACATCAGAGTTGCACCATTTGATGGTACAGGGTAATTATTCTTTACCGTATTTATAGCATATGGGCATGACACAGGTTTCAAAAGCACTTTCCTACTCATTTTTTTAATAATTATGATTATGATCATAAGAGTTCACATGCCCTGAGATCTCGCCATGTGCCAGGCGGTATTCTAAGTACCTTACATAGATTGTCTCATTTAATCCTCATAGCCTGTGAGGGAAGTGCTGTAGTTATCCCCACTTTACTGAGGAGAAATTAAGGCACAGAGAGGTTAATGTGCTCAGAGTCACACAGCTTTTGGAAGAGCTGAGATTGGAACCCAAGCAGTCTGACCCGTGAGCTTACCTTCCCAACACACTGCCCTGTTTCCCAACACATGTGACTGTCTCTCCATAAAGCAAAGGTAATCATTTCCTAAGGAGGCATGGAAGTCGAGTTCTTTCCTGGGACCTTGCTAATATCCTTGTTGTTGTTCTATTTCCTAGGTGTTTTTCCAGGTCTGACCACCTTGCCCTCCATATGAAGAGACATATCTAAAAAACCGAAAGGCCAGAGTTGCCATGGCGTCAGCCGATGTCGGAAGCAAATGCCGTGAGCAGGGGGCTGGACTTCAGGCGGGGACCCATTGCCTCGCAGAAGAAAGTTCTCACTTATAAACCTCTGTGTACACACACACATACACGCACACTCACACGCAGACCCCCCACACTGTCATGCACTCAACTATATTTAAAATATATACGTCTATTCGTTATGCCTTGCCCTAGCCAGATGGTGGAAGACGAAGAAGGAGACCAGGTGAACTCAGCAAGGCAGACTGGCTGCTCACTTCAGCACGATTGGAATTATTTCCCGCTGTTGCCAATGGAAATCAAAGAAAATGGATGTGACGTCTCTGCAGGTGGACGGCAGTCCGAGGGGCTTATTTAACTTGCCTCCCAGTGCAACTTGATAGGAGAATCCAACGTCTTACAGTTGCATATGTGTAGCACTAATGTTTCTTTTCTAAATAGTTGGGGGAAAATGACCTAGAAAACCAAATTGCAGTTTGGTAGCCAAAATTAACTCTTGGTTTATTTGTCCTTTGTGTGTGAAAAGTCCTACTATTCCATGCGTCAGACTTCCTCACAGAACTGTCGATGGGTTTTGGTTCTTCTTAGTACTATTGAGATCTTTCGCGTCGATCCCAACGGCCTTAGCGGCGGCAGACTCTGGAATAACACCTTATTATACCTTTCTGGCCTGCATTTCTCTAGACTTCACTCTCAAGGGAGGAGTTTTCTTTTCTTACTTTTTGACTCTTGCACACCATATGCACTAGGGATTCTGGAAACTTCTAGCATGACTGCAAAGTGGCCAAGAGAATAAAGTCCTTGATGATAAATCACAGTATATCCCTTGAGCCTCACCTTATTGCCAGTGCTAGATTTTTTCTTTTTAATCTCTCTGTTTTTGCTAACGAAAACTTGAAAAGCTTATTTGGAAGCTTAGATGTTTTATCTTTTCTCCATGGACTAAAAGCTCTCCAGGACTCTCCGGGCACCTGGATGTCCAGCTCTCGAAGCAGCCGATCAGATGGGACATCACAGTTCTCTCGTCCTCCCTGAGGCATGATGAGCTCAGCTCGTGGTGATCAACCACTGTGCTGTGTGTCATTGCCACCCCATAACCAGTTACGGCGTAGATGTCGCTAGTGTCAGAGGGCAGCTGCGTATTTAATCTAACTCTGGGTTATGACCTGACAAAAAGCCAAAAATATCACTCTTTCCAGGAGTGGGGAAAACTGAGGATGCCTCCAAGTCTAGTGGCTTCACAAAACATCACCCAATCTTCCTCTCTCATACCCACTGAGCTCATATTACCCCACTTGTTATGATACACAATTCAAAATGCCATTATGGTATCGAAGGGTTGACATTTAAGGAAAGGGTTGAGGTGTTTCTCTCATGGGCTGTCTAAAAGGAAAGACATGTCTCTTATTTTTTTTGTTTGTTTGTTTGTTTGGTTTTTTGGCTAGGCCCACCACGACGCGCGACCTAGAATACCCAGGATCAAGAGAGGCCTCACATTCACTCTGCAAGCTGACTCCAAGGGGGTCTGCAGTCCTTGTCATACCACACACACACACACCCAACACTGGTCTCTATCTACCCGCATTCCTAGCTAGCTGGCACTGGCCTCAACTCCAAAGACTGCCTTTAGGACCATCAAATGGCCTATGCAAGCAAGCGGGGTGGTTATTAGGACAGATTGTATATTTTGTATATTCTGGGACCATCCCTTCAAGACACGTCTAAAACACAAAAATGGCATTTGGTCCGCACATGGTTGCTGCTTCTCCCTACCAGCTGGCTCTCTCCTGTCCTCCTTTGACTGTTTGACTCATTGACTGTTAAAATGCCACCCCATACATATTTGGGATGCAAAACTGAAGTCTTTAAAAGGAAATAATCATATAAGAAACACAAACACATATATGACAGCAACCTTCAAGATCCTTGGCATTTGGGTTTTTCAGCTTTCTGCAACCTTTGCTTTCACTGAAATGTCGAAACTACTCGTCTGAGGGTAAAGGAACCTCCTTATCACAAATGCTGTAGCTGCCAATTGGACACTTGGGGCATTTTGAGGTCTGGCCCTAAGAATTTTCTCTCTCTTTTTTCCTTTTTTCAATTTAGACCAAAAAAAACAAAACAAAACAAAAAAAGAAAAAAAAGAAAAAAAGAAAAGAAAAGAAAAAAAAACACCCCAAACACACACATAAAATCTGTCCATTTGCCAGAGGCAATTATGTATATGTTAGTTGGAGGGTATTAAAAAAATCCATTTTATTCCAAAGATTTAAAACTAGACATGACTTAGAAACAATTTCTGGAGCACTGCTTGCTGACAATCTCGTAGTTCTCTACTGCATTTGAGTGCATTTTGTGGCCAGTCCATCAGGGCGTACCATGGGATTATATTTGAATGTGTGGTGCATCCTTCCCGGATGAAGGATGTGTGAGGAACCTTGAACCTCAGCTGTATTAAACTGTAGCGCCTCCAGTCAGTGCACTAGATGAAACTTTAGATACCCCAAGTTTTGTTGGTTTATTTTCCTTTCTCTAGCAGCCTCCAGCATGAATGCACGCACACACCAGTGATGGCATTGAGCCGTGGCTGCCATGATTTGCAAATGTTCTCTCCCAAGCTGGAGCTGCTCTTGCCTCTCGAAATGCTATTATTAAGGGTTTATAATACTTAATTTAATTTTTGAACTGACCAATGCAAGGCTCTATTAAAAAGAAAGTTTAAAAAAAAGAAAGAATGCAAAAGAGTAATCATTGCTTGTTTGCTCCCTATTGTCATCTGTGGTCTCATTTGAATGTGGCAGAACAAAGACCCTTTGGTCCTCATCAGTGTCTGAAATGTTTGGTAACTTCTCTCTCTTGTGTGTCAGTGAGGTCCTTTGTAATTTGCTCCTGAACTTCCTCAGAGCAGGGTGCACTGGAGCTCCATGGTGGTGCTTGCTTGCTTCAGAGGCATTTATTGACTGTGTGAATTGGCCCAAGAATTTGGTGGGTGCTAAGTGGTTGGCTTTGAAACTGTTCTTCTTTAGTCCAGATGACACCTGAGAATGATGGTCACTCCTAACCCTGGGGTGGGGGTAGCCTTGATCATTCTGGGAATGGATTTGTGATAAAATGTCCATCACCTCTGAAATGATAGAGATGGTTGCTAAGAGCCTCTGGAGGAAACAGGTTTTCCCAGAAATATCCTGAAGACATTTTGCTCCAAAGAGGGCTGGTTATTTTTAAAAGTACCTGCATGGACATTTGACACACGTGTTTAAGTTGTTGCCTCCTAACATTCCTGGGGACCCCAGATTTGAAAGAACCCAGTCTGGTGTTTCTTGTGGTTGTCCTCACAAGTACGCCTTATCCAGGGTTCAGAGTTGGACGTATAGAAAAAGAGTTTCTAAGCCAGGGACAGTTTTCTTTATTTCAAGTCATACTTCTTTCTCCTACCACATGGCTGTACGTCAGAGACATGGAAACCTGAAATCGTAATGCTGCTCCTAGTTACTGGCCTCCTGCCCCTCAAATGGTTCATTGGCTCAGCTTAATACCTGGTGGTGATGAGTATTATGTCGAGAAAAAGAGATGTTCAGATTCCATGACAAAGCTGCATTTTGTAAAAACATTGGCAACCCCCAAATGAACTTCATGCTCACTTTTTCCTCCTCTCTATGTGCTTTCCCTTGCAACACCCTTCAAATGCTCCTTTCTCTCGAGGCCACCTCCTCCCCACCTGCACCTCTTGTGCCCTTTCGCATCTTTGATTGCCTGATTATAACAGGGTAAAAAGACAGCCAACCTCATGCATGATTAGTAGAACTGATTCCTAGCTTTAAAAAATCTTCTTTGAAGCCAGAGAAGATTTTTTAAGGACTTTAGTTTGGGATCCACTTTCCAGATTATCAAAGGGGAAATAAATGGCACTTTTGGGTGGCTCGTCTAGTGCATTCGGGAACATTCTGCCTCTAGCTCCGCTCCTGCTTTCTACCATAAAGCCAAAAGAAGGAAACTCAAATTGCAGGAACAACAAAACTGGATGATTAGTTTTGGTGGTCCAAAATGATTTCGTCAATGGAAGTCACTTCGTAAAATGTAGAATCTAGTGGGAAGTGCTTTTGTCTTTTCTCACGTGAGTTATTTTTAGGAGAAGGTAGGGCAAAGTCAGAGAGCTTCAGTACATTTAAATACAAAAATCAGGTTTGTTCTTCCTTTCTTTAAAAAAAAAATCTTACCATGGTCAGCATTTCTGGCTGCAATTTTGCACTCAGAACATTGCCAAAGTGAACATCCAGTAAGTAGAACCTGGTTGAAATTTACTCCTGGAGGCTTCCCCTTGTATAGTCTGGAAGTGGCCATCTGTCGAGCGCAGGAGTTGGGGGGTGTGGGACAGGAGGGGAGGACTTGCATTTTGGGTGTCTGGATTAAAGTTCGGTAAACATGGTGATATCTCAGTTTGAAAACTAGAGGTCCTATTCTGAGTATACATCAATGCCTTTTTGATGGCCTACTTTCCTCAATGAGGATCTTTGGGAATACTTGAGACGGAACAACAGAAATGTGTCAAAAGAAGCAAAAACTGCTTGTAAATAACGTGGCAACCCATGACTAACTGCCTGAGGCTTCAGGGTTTTCTCTTGCTTTTAACACTCTCTTAAATCTCCTCTGTTGGTTCCTAATAGATCCCAGAAAGGGGAAAAAATAAAGCTGCAATTAACTTTCTCATGTGCATCCTTCCAGTATAGTACTGTATTCTGCAGGTGTTTTGCATTTACATAAAAGTCCTCGGGGAAACAGGTATCAAAAATGGCGAGAAATCCCGGGCCATCCCTTTACAAATATCCCAAACAAGATACTCTTTTCACACAGGGCTCCCTCTCAGTGGTCATGAGGGAAAGTTGATACGTTCTTTGGTGGGGACTGTTTATACAATTTTTTTTTCAACTGTGAGCTTTGGAATCGTATATCGCTTTGACTCCAGCTTCTGTCTACTGCCATAACATGGACCCCACGTCAGAATAATGAGGGTGGTATGTCTGCACACACCTAGACAGGTGTGCATATGTACCTGCTGTACCTTCGCAGAAGGAAAACAGGCTACTGACGTTTCACAGGAGTAGCCACCAGTGCCTAATACCTTTTTGGGGGGATGGATGCTTATAATTGCCAGTATATTGAAACCACACTGGGAGTTCCACATAGAGGGGAGGGGCAGGGGGTGGGGAGAGGGGACATTTTAATCCTAGGCCTTTGGACTGGAGGCAGAATGATTTCTGCACACCTAGGTCCTGAAGGCTTTGGGGCTCATTGGCTGGTTCTCAACCTCTTTTTTTTTTTTTTCTTCCTAGCATGCATTTCCTATCTAAACCCAGACTTAGTTTAATTTCCTTATCTTTCACTTCTGCTTCATTCCAGGGAGGAAAAATACACCTGTTATGGCCAAGATCTCCTTGCTAACACACAGAGGCAAAAATAAATGTTTAATGTTTTTGAAGCCTCCCCTTCCTTTCCACAGCCCCCTCCCCCAAGCTCCTTCTCCCACTTCCTCGTCCACCACACAACTTCCCAGCCACCATGACTTTCCTTTCACAAATCTATTTTATCCTCTTAGCCGCTTGAAGAAATTTATTTTTGCACTATACATTTTCTTTTTGCCAGACGTGTCTAACAAGTGTGTTTGGAGAGACCTACTCCCAGCCCCTCCCCTCCCCCACCTCCCCCCGTCACATTCTCTCAGGCCTTCTCTGGTATTTATAATATATCACAGAAGTACCCAGTCTTATAGCCCTCGGTTATGCCTTTTTTTGACATTTTATTTTTTTTAAGCTTTTTATATATATATATAAATATATTACTTTGTCAAGTTTTTTTGCTGTACAAAAGTCTTAAGATTTAAAACTATTATTTGTATTATATGATGGTGGTATGTTAATGTTACAAAATTATTAATGAAGAAAAAATTTATTTTTGTTACTGGTCTGTTTCATAATTCTTTTTTAAATTGGTATATTGTAAGATATCTATGCAAAAAAATGTTATGTGACGCATTTTTATTTAAGAATGTAATATGTGTAATAAACAGTAGAATGTGTTTGGCCTTGGAATGACTTACTGTATTTCTCCTTAGCTGATTTCACTAGGGGGAAAAAAAATCCTCAAAGAGACACAAATGGGTACTTATATGCCTCATGAAAGTTTTCTTTCTTGGAGAAAGGGAAGGTAAAAGGTTGTATTGGGTCATTTTTCTTTGTTTGGGAAGGGGTGCGTGTGTGTATTTTATGGTGCCAATGAGGTGGCTCAATGCCCAAATAAGAAGGGACACTGGAGGCAGTTTATTTCTTCAAGGGGAGAAAAGGAGCAAATGGTTGGAGGTTATGAAAAGCAATATTTTAGAATGAGGTAGATTATGGGATGTTATTTGTTTAGGGGGTTGGGAGAGGGTTATTGAAAGCAGTTTGTTTGGTGAGAGAACGGGGTCGTTTGTTCAGGGATGGCGTTAAATAGAGGCATACTTGGAAAGGACCATTTGGAGCAGTTTGCAGGCGCAGGGAAGAATGGCACAGGTCGCAGGGAATAATAGGTGAGGGAGGGGAGTAAAATGACAGGAGATGGTTGCTGGCAGGGTGGAGAGACAATGGCAACCCAGAGGCCTGGAAAGTCTGGCCGCTACGCAGAGTCCAAAAAGGCAGATGCGAATACAGGCAGCCTCAGACACTGAGAAAAGAGGGAGATGAAAGGCCCAGGAAAAAAATTCCTAGAACTGAAAAGAACAATGCTAACATCTCCTCTGCCACACATGCCTTCCAAGAAAGAGCATCAAAGCAAGGAGGAAGGCAGAGAATCCAACTGGCGGTGTCATCCCGGCATCCCTCGCTCCGCGATCCCCCAAGGGACGCAGTGCCATTAACGGGAAGCAACAGTTAAACACATTTGTCACAGGGGACACAGTGCTGTGCAAGCTCTCTTTTCATTCTTTGGACTGACTTACAGAAACAGATACGACGGCAAATAACTTCTGTTCCTCATTAAATCAGTCCAACAAACTTTTCAGTAAATTTTCACGTTAGAAACTGTGGCCACTGTGACTGAACTTGCTGTGTGGGGACAGACAGTTCTCAGCCTCTGAACAGGAAAACGGCTGTAAGTGGAGCAGAGAGTGTGGAAGGGAGGCTGGGTGATCCTGTCCTAGCCCTGCTAACACTCCAGGTAAACAGAACAGTGGGTGCTGCAGGGGCCTGGAAAATGGCTTTGAAAATGTAAATATCAGCTGCCGCATGTCCCAGGCAGGCCAGGCGACAGTCCACGGCTGAGTAAAAGAAACTTCCTGATCCAGCGGGGAAAACATGCAGACCTACCTCTTAGTCCCTGATCCTTCAGTAGCTCCAGGGCTAGCTAAGTAATTTAATTCTTATAACAAAAATCTTTTACCTAGAAATTTCTCTGCGTGAGAAAGGATAAGATAGCTTGGCATTATTACCTAGAATCAGGTTTATTATTCCACTTCCCTGACTCGTGAAAAGATATCGAATTGGGCATTTTAGGTGGGGATCAAACTGCGCTGTGCTAAAATGTTCAGACGAGAGGGTGGTTAAGTCTAGTCTAGTTGGCATACGGAAATGAGATGGTTTATATAAGTGAATATTCTAGAAGACTTAAGCTTACATATTTAGAAACAACATAATTTTTGCTCAACATAGGTCTAAATATACATTGCCCACTTTACCACCTTTTTAAGCATCCGTCTTTGCAATATAATGTAAATTCAGGGATGACTCCAGACTGCAGGATAGCTTGCCCGGCACTAAATGACTTTACACTTTCTATCGGGTGATTCTACTTTGTCTGCTGTGTTCTCCCTCTTTGGAAGTGGCAAGTTCTTTGTGTGTCATCTTGAAGCAAAATTTATCTCCTTGTCATCTAGCAGATCAAATAAGCAATTTTGGTGACTCCTTAAGTGCAAAAATAACTAAAGCACGAATCCAATAGGTAGCAGTTTGCAAGTGTAAGCTGCATGTCCCAGTGAGGTGCATGGACCTTGCACCAGCTGTAATCTGAGGTTGTGTGTGCAGGTGGGGGTGCTGGGCTGATGGAAAGGAGCCTTATAAAAAGCAGAATTCAGTGGAATTGATAAATAATTTAGTATTTTCAGCTCGTTTTCCACTTACGGGTTCAGAAGAGGAGATGGTTAAACTTTTAACTGAAGTGAGATTTTCAGATTGCTGGTAGATGATGGTTTTCTGGTTTATCTATGATAAGCCAATTCACAATTCCTTTTCCAACATTAAATATTTTATCTGTGATTTTTGAAACTATCAATATTGATCAGTTTGAACATAACCTATTACTTATTTTAAACATTCTGCCTGATCATAATATAACTATACATACCATAACACTATATTTTAAAAGAATGAAATGACAAAGAGAATAATATTTATGTTTGTTCTGGAAACGTTTATTTATTATTCATAGAACTTTTCTTTTCACACACGCTGCATTTGAGCTGCCCAACAAGACTGCATAGACTGGATAGGTTTTAGTCACCACCATGACCATTTGCCCACACAAATGGAGACACTGGGGACACAGAAAGACAAATACTCCATGATCTCATTTATATGTAGAATCTAAAAAGGTTGCATTCATGGAAGCAGAAGTAGGATGGTGGTTACCAGGAGATGCAGGGGAGAGCAGGGGGAAGGGGTTGGGAGATATTGGTTAAAGGATACAAAATTTTCTTAGGAGGAATACAGGTAATCAAGTGTGCTACGTGGTGACTATAGTTAATAACAATGTATTGTATTCTTGAAACTCACTAGGAGAATAGATCTAAATATTCCCACCCCTCAAAATGATAAATATGTGAGATAATGCATATGTTAAATTAGCTTGATTGAGCCATTCCACAATGTATACATATTTGAAAACATCGTGTTGTACATGGCAAATATACATAATTTTTACTTGTTAATCAAAAAACAATTTAAAAAAATAGAGAAACCGGGTTTGAAGAGGGTAGGTGACTCGGTCAAGGCCCAGGGAACACAGTCAGTGACAGAGTTGGCCCTCAGGTTCCCTGACTGCCATCCAGCAGACTTGACTCTGCCCCCCACTGCTTCAGGGTAACCAGGAGCTAACTCCATGCCTATGTACGTCTCCAACCATGGTATCACAACTGACAACACTAACTTCCTCTCCCCATTTCCTCCCCGCTAGTAAAGAAGGTAACCTATAATTGAGTCATCACATGCTAGCATTGGAAGGGATCTTGGAGATCTTCAATGCCACCATTCTACTTGAGTCAACTGAGGCTCAGAGAAGTTCCCACTTGCCCAAGGTCACAGCCACACAGCACGTCCTTGGCAGAACAGGAGTCAACCCTGCAGTGTTGATATGCAGTGATGCTCCACTGGTCTTGGCAGTGTTCCTTAAACTTTAGTCACTTGAGTGCAACCTTCAAGATTCTTGTGATATCCTTGTGATATTAATTACTTCCTTAGTATTTTTTTCTTTAAAGTGACATACCTTTTAAAACCGTAAATATTTGTTTTAGCTTTGTCCTAAGCAAAAATACTTCCAAAACTACTGGTTTCATAACCTATTTTCCCTTTAAATATAGATAAAAATAAATAAATAACTCAAAATAAAAATGCACGTCTTTGTGTTGCACTAAAACACTCAGTTACTACTGGTGGCATTTGAGAGACACTGCTCTGTGCCATTCTCTAAAATCTATACAGTACCATTTCTCTTTAGCTAATTATTTAGTCCATATGATGCTCCTCAGAGCACATTTCAAATTGAATCTAAAACTAAGTGCATGTGAAAATCTAATAAAGACTAATTTGATGACTGGGAAGTTACTTAAGGATGCAGAGGTCCCTTAGGAGGAAGACAATGTGGCCTGTGAGTAAAGTGCATTCTCTGCCTTGCTTTCCCTCCTTAGAACACCCGGACCCTCAGGGAAAGGAATTCCTGGTGGGTGGGCTCATTGCCATGGCCACTTCTTGCCATTTTTCTGGAAATGGAGCCCTGAGTTTTAGGAATTGGCTGCTAAGGAAGTTTTTGTTTGTTTTCTGAGATAGATACTATTTATTAGTTCTCATTTTACAACTGAGAAATCTGAGGCTTAGAAATGGGGGGGAAAATTTGCTTAATTTCCAAGGACATTTTATTCTTTCCTGGAGTTCCCCAATCAACAGCCTAGAAACTAACCCATGCTGTGAAACACAGCTTCAAAATGTGCTCACATTTGTGGTATGCTTCTGGGACATCACTGCTTATATGTGCACACATGCACATAACTCAGCCCCCTAAATATTTTTCCAACCAACTTCTAAACGGCTGGCAATCTACTATGAAATATTTATTTTTTTGCCTAAAGGCTTCCCTGTTTTTAAACTACAACTAGCTAGGAAGAGGTAACTCTTTATGCCTCATCTGTCATACGGGAATGAGTTTATTCCATCCTTTCATATGAGAAGTTTTAAGTGCAAAGAGGAGAAATATGGAGATTATGGATAGGAAAAGAATACAGAAGAAAGGGGCCAACTTTGGGACTCAAGAGGTGGGAAGCATAAGGAGTCAGGCAGACAGTTCTTTGCCTGTCACTGCAGAGCCACAGGAGGGTCAAATGACTTCATAAAGAGTCTGAAGCAAAATTTTATTGCTGGCAAAGTCTCCTAAATGATCAAAATGAGAGTCTACAGAAACCCGACTCTGAAGAGCTTACTTATCACAAGAAACAGCTACTAGCAAATGGTGGCCTCTTGTTAGATAATAATGGCATTACAGATCCCTACTTGCTGGCCTCAATTTTGTTTTTTGGAGCAACAACTTCTGGTGTTCTGGTCTTATTGTGAGCAAAAAGTCAACAGTCCCTTTATAAAAATGAGGATGTGTTTGAGGCACTGGGAGCATATTTAAAGGTTCATTTCTTGTGGATTCCAAAAAAACATCAGAACCTAAGAAATGATGATATATTTTCTTCAGCTCAACAACACATGTTCTTGGGGTTATGTTTGCAGACTATTCTGAGAAGTGCACAAGCTAGGATTACAGGATTACTGGTCAAAGAACCCAGACTTTTGG